AACTTTGTTCTTGGTTACAAAGGCCATTGTTTGAGTGAACAAAGAAGATACGGAATCTGGAAAGAACTGTTTACCCAGAGAAGCTACTGAGAGCTCAGACTGAAGCAGACCTGCCTGCGAATGAGGAAGGGGCGGGCACCTCCAAGCACAAGTGAAAAGACAGTCTGACTGAGGCTCAAAATTATGAATGGAAAGAAATCTAGTTCCCAGCAGTGGCCAGAATACCCTGAAAATTACTTTGCTTCTCAGTTAAAGTCATTTCCTCGATAATCAGTCAGAAATTCAATTCTGAGAACAATAACCTGATGTTAATGCTAGGAGAGGAGGACTTCAAAGGTCTCCGGTTTCCTCCATCAGACTGTCCCATCTGCTCTTCTTGGTGCCGCTTCCTACGCCACCCAGAGCTCACTCGGGTCTTTGGCAAACACCGGCTACATGCAGGTTGTGGCCATTTTAGTTCACAGAAATTCCTTAGAAAAGGAAAGTATTCAGGCATGGAAATTAACCATATAGAAACAAACAAAGCATTTTTCAGTTTTTTTTATTCTGGTTCCTATTGCTGGTGCATTCTGCTAAACTCAGGACGGTTACCGTAGTTTAGATGTGGCTAGAGTGTAGCCCTGTGTTTGTATGTTGGAGGCTTGGTCTCCAGGGTGGTGATATTAAGAGGTGGTGGGACCTTTAAAAGTTGGGGGTCTAGTGAGGGGCTCACAGCTCACTAAAGGTATTTCAACACAGCTAATACAGTTTTTGTGGGGCCCATTGGTTAGTTACAAAGAGAGAGTTGTTATGAAAGAACAAGCCTTCCCTGCCTCCCTGGGCTTCTCATCTGGCAATATGATCTGTCCACACCTGTGCCTGCCCTTGTGCTGCCATCTGCCCTAAGTCCTCACCAGGGCCAAGATGATACCAGTTCCAAAAGCAGGATCCTTCGGAATAGTGAGAAAAATAAGCCTCTTTTCTTCTTACAGGTTTTTCTTTTGGAAGTGTGGTCAAAATATACAGTGAATATTAAAACTTTCCTTATAGTAAAAGACATATTGCCATTAATCTCCCTCAAAATACTTTCCCTCACTTCCAACATTCTTACCCACCGCTCTTGCCACCTTCTGAAGCAGTTCTAGAAGTTCTCTATTATGTCTTTATGAGTGTGATTAAAAAATATGGTACATGTTATTACTAAGTACTATTAAACAGACAAACCAGTCTATAAAACCAGTGGTTTGTCTCCATCCACTGTCTTATGTTTCTTGTTGCTGAGACAAAATACCTGATACCGGACAAGGAGGGAAGCTTTATTTTGGCTTACAGTCTGTAGAGGTTTCAGTCCACAGTCAGCAGGTGGCATGGCCCGGGGCATCACAGAGGAGAAGCAGCTCATGGCAGAGCAGGCAGGAGGCAGTAAGCCCAAGCCTCCCTTTCCTTTTATTCCATCCAGACCACAAGCCTTTCGGGCAGTACAAGATATCTATACTCAGAATGGGGTTTCTGTTATCAACACCCAGAACTACACTAAAGCAACTTAGTTATCAGATAGCTTTAATTCCTAACTCGGCATCATATGTCCATGATGCATTCACCTCCTAAAAACCCCACCTATGAAGTTCTGCAAGGCACACCTACATACCAGCCATAACATCCACTGTCCCTCGCTCTGGCACAAAAGGTAAACTTCCTAAACAGGTTCAGGACAGTGCAACATACTCAGCAAAGAGGACATCCAGAACTGTTCTAGAAAGTGACGAGAAAGATGCATTTGAAGAAAGAGGAAGCATTTTTAGGGGGATTAATGGCAATTTGTGTTTTACTTCATGTAATGTTTTTAATTTAAACATTTGCTGTATGTTTCAATCATACCTTGTGTAAATACAGGTATTTCATTATATTAATAGAATCATCAATACAATGGTTATTCTTGCATAGATGACTTTCCTATTGATATCACCTCCTAAAATTAATTCTGGAGTTATAGTTTCCAATAAGTATCTAGTATTAGATTATGAATGTTCTCTTCTACTTGACATAACCATCTACTTATGGCACTAGATAGGAAGAGGAACGTGATTTAGTGAGCTTCGTAGGAGAGTTTAACTTGATGATAGTAACAAAGAAAGCCAGAGATGAAAGGAAACAGAATCCTTAGCTAAAAGCAAATCAGAGAGACTCGGAACCAAGAACTAGTCTGCAAAGAGAAAATAGCATTGGCCATTAAAGAAGGATCTAACTCTGGACCAAGAGGCAGACATAGAGCTAAAAAGAGAGCAGAGATGCTTTATTAAGAATGAATTTTTATTCTCCTAGAGGGTAGTTCCCACAAACCTATGTATAGTACAATGCAACATTGTTTTGAAATAAATCTCCCCCACTCCATAAAAATGTTTTATGACTTGTCATCCATTTAGAGTCTGCACCACAGAGAAAATTGATACTGCTAATGAAAACAGTCAACTGATATTATATAAATGAAGCCAAGTTAAATATTTGGAACATGAATGTGGAGAGTGTGTGTCATTTGTCTTTTTGTTGCCTAGAACAACAGAAATGATTTGATTTTATTTAAAAAAGGGGGGGATGCCTATACCCTGGAGTTGTCTTGCTGATTTAAACAAGGTCTGGTACTCCACGATGCCCTGAGTGAAGGATATATTAAATATAGGAGGTAAAAGCTACAGAGGCTCATCAACAGAAACTTCTAATTTTTCAGGTTTTCATGACAACGGTGGAAAAAATTACCCAATCTTCACATGCACATTCATCAGTTTCCACCCTGCATGCAGATTAGACGCATGGTCACTGCTGGCTAGACGAGGTATCATCATATGGTTCTTCCTTCTTTCAGATTCTTGGTACTATTTTTGGATAAATCTTGACAAGTTCCAAAATCTAGAAAATTGCACCAAAACCATTTTAAAATCAAATTTAAAGACTAGGAGGTCAGCCATATGACCTAACAGAAGCTTGAGATCGGCAGTTCGTCTGTATCAAAGGCTTAATCTGGTTCTTCCAAGCTTTCTAAGTGGCAAATCACCAGTTAGGTGACGTACATGAAGTTTCCATTTCCATCGCTACAGAAGAAATAACAGTGCCGCCTTCCAGGATATTAGTGTCACATCAGTGAAAAGGTGGAGAGGAGCTCACTGTCTTCTGTTCACTTTCTGGAGTTTGCTCACGTGTTAGAAATTTAGTCAGTATCAGCACGAGGAATGAGGCACCAGGAGCAAGAACATTCCAGTCTCAAACTTGTGTCTACCCAATAATCAGTTTTTCCATTTCAAAGGTTTAACTGCCCACTACCATGATTCTTAAGCATTAGACTCACTAGTAAAATATCTAAACATCCCAGGGCCCAGCCTCACCCAACACTAAATCAGAATGTCTGGGGCAGCTGAGGTATCAGTATTGTTCAAAGAACCCTTCAGTTAATTTTATTATAGGGCAAAGTATAGAACCAAACTCCTTTCTATAATCATCTGAGGCTACCTTTTGACTGGTTTTATAAGTATAACCAACTTCAAATTGAGAATGAAAGATCAAAAAGCCAAACCTTGAGTCCTAGCACCTTCCTCCAGTGAGTGTGGTAGTAGTCGCCCTGGGTTTTGTATTCAACTGGGAGAATGAACCCAGGAATAAAGAAGGTGAGCCTAGAGCCAGGAGAGCAGAAAACACTCCTGCCTAAATTCTATAAAGAACAGAAATAGCGGGGCTGGGGCTGGGGATTTAGCTCAGTGGCATAAGTGCCTGCCTGGCAAGCATGAGGTCGAGAGTTCAACCCCTGGTACTGCAAAAAAAAAAAAAAAAAAAGAACAGAAATAGCATAAAGAGAAATTCTAATCTCAAATAGAACAATTCTAGGTTCACCAAGAAAAGTAGATTTCTTCACTGGAGTTTTAAGTCAAAGTAGAATTATAGATCTGCTGGTGGGGATTGTAGCTGGATATCCTTCATGGAAACCTTTGCTTTCTCAGGGCACTTCAAAGACAAGGATTTCAACAAATACACTGAGGACACTACAGTAGTGTTGAGATTTCTGCCCCACAGAAGACCCTCGACAAAGTCTAGAAACATATTTTGTCTTCTTGTTTGGAGATCAGCGGACTATTACTGGCATCTGTAGAGGCCAGACACACTGGAAAATGGCATATAATGTAAGGGTAGTCTCCACTAAAAGGAGCCCCAGGTGCCAACAGTGGCAGGGTTGTAAAGCCTTGGAGCTCTTTCATCCATGGACCTCTCCCTGTCCTCAGAAACAGATGATGATCATAACAAGGAAAGATGAAGTTAAAAAATGGAAAAGAGGAGAAAAAAAGATGAAATGATAAAGAGGAGGAGGAAATAAGAGGCTAGGGAAAAGGAAACAAGAAAAAGAAGCCAGCTTCCTAATTGTCAAAAGTTGGAAGCCACCAAGAGGCTCTTCAGAAACCAAATGGGTCAATGAACTGATGCATCCAGACAATAGAACAGTACTCTGCACTGACAAGAAATGAGCTCTCAATCTATGAAAAGACATGAAGGAAATTAATGCATATTCAAGTGAAAAAAGTCAATCTGAAAAGGCTACCAACTGTATAATTCTAACTATATGACATTCTGAAAAGGGCAGAACTGTGCAGATGGTGGAAATACCAGTGGTTTCCAGGGATCTGGGGAGGGCGTGAGTGAAGGGAACACAGGGATCTGTAGGGCCGTGAGATGATCTGATGACTGTACAGCTGTGGACGCATCGTACACTTACCTGAACCCAATGTACACCAAAAGTGAATCCTAATCTAAGGTAAGGGCTTTGGCTGAGCATGACGAATCAATGTAGATTCAACAATTTTAGCAAATTCCCTGTAATGGGGGATGTTGATAATGGAGGGGGCAGTGCTTATGTTGGAGCAGAAATACCATGGGGAATTCTGTTCTTTGAGCTCCAATATTCTCACATTAAAATTTCTCTTAAAATAAAAGCTTTTTTTTTTTTTTTTTTTTTTAAGAAAGAAAAAAGAATGGCACTCTGGCATGGACTGCCTCCAGCCTCCACAGCCTTTATTGCTTCTCTGAGTTCAGGGGGCCGCGAGCGCCCTCTGTCACTGGTATACTGTGGCCAGGGGGGAGGACAAAAGCAGAGGACTAACTCTCTTTTGCCGGGTGGATGTTCTGTGCCTGAACTCGGTGTCCTTCTTTGCAAGGAAGGCCTCAGACCCTGCTGGGCTTCTTGGGGTCCTTGTTGTTCTTGGCGGGCATGAAAGCGTACAGCTCTTCGATGAGCATCTCCATGCGGGCGGTGACCTCGGTCACTGTGTCGATGACCAGCCGCTGCTGCAGCTTCAGCTTGTTGTTCTCCCACAAGGCCTTGTTCTCCTCTTGGAAGGCGCGGTGCTCCTCCCTCAGCACGTGCAGGGCCCTGTTCTCCTCCTGCAGGAGCCGGTTCTCCTCGCGCAGGGTCTGCAGCGCCTGGCCCATCTCCCGCAGCAGCTGCAGCGGCCCCGGGCCCGCCTTGCCCTCCTCCTCCCTGGACGGCCCAGACAGGGTGCTGATGAGCTCCCGCAGGGTGCGCAGGGTCTGGGCGTCCTCCTGCGGGGTGGCGGGACTTTTGGGCTCCTCGAAGGGGGAGGAGAGCCCCGCGCCCTGGTCGGGAAGCAGCCCGGGGCTGTGGGGCTCCTCGTGCGCAGGGGGGCCCGCGGCGCTGCCGTCCGCGCCGGCCGTCTTGTCCTCCACCCGCGCCCAGTAGGCCTGGCTCTGCGCCAGCAGCTGCTGCAGCGCGCGGTTCTCCTCCCGCAGCAGCTGCAGCGCGCTGTTCTCCTTGCTGCGCGGCGGCGGCGGGGCGGCGGCCTCCTTCTGCACCGCCTCCTGCGACGCGCTCTCCTTGCGCAGCAGAGGCGGGCCGGGCTGGCCGTCCTCGCAGCCCAGCGCCGCCTTGTGCTCCTCCCAGAAGACCTGCAGGATCTTGTTCTCCCTGCGCAGCGCCTTGTTCTCCTCGCGCAGCGCCCGGTTCTCCTCGCGCAGGCACCTGCTCTCCTCCTGCAGCAGGTACTCCTTGGCCAGCCTCTTGTGGTGCAGCTTGTGGTGCAAGGAGGACGAGGGGGAGAAGTAGGGGGACTGGGGCCGGCAGTTCTCGTTCACCCACCGCCCGTCCTGGAACACGAACATCTCGTCGCTGAGCTGCACGCGGGGAGGGTTGTAGTCCAGCTCCAGGTCGGCCTGGGAGGTGGGGCGCTCCATGGGGTCGAAGGGCGTCGAGGTGAAACGGTTGAGCGGGTAGGAGTGCTGGCTGACCACCCGGCGGCTCAGCCCGGGCACGGCGCCCTGGCGCGAGCAGCGAGGAGTGCTGTACAGGTTGTGGAGCTTCAGGTAGGGCTCGGCCGTGCCCTTCTGCGGAGAGAAGAGCGAGGCGCGTTAGTGGTGCAACCGAGGCATGGAGGGTGGCGGAGCAAAAGGCCAGGACACTCCAGTGAGCCGCGAGCGGCAGTCTGGCCTGGTCACAGCGGGCACTTTTGCCTCTTAGGGGCCTCACGAGGCAGCGTATCATTGCATTTATTCCAACTAGCTCTGCTCTGTAAAGTCTCCAGGAACATTGGATTAGTTTCCTGTGAGCTTCTGGTCACAACGTTTTTGCCAGCTAATCAATACATAACCGTGTGTGTGTGTGTGTGTGTGTGTGTGTGTGTGTGTGTGTGTGTGTAAAGACACTTTAACATGTATGATTGATTCATTAATGTTGAATACACCATCAACCACTGTCACTCACGGCGGAACAAGGCTTATCTAGCATGAGCTTCCTCCACAGGGCACATCTCAGCCCTCTTGTGCTATAGGAACACCAGCGTTAGGCAGCACTACACGTGGGAGCCACCTTCAACAGTGTGATCACCATCAAAAACACAAAAATTTCCAGAAACCATGGCACTAGTAAACTCCCAAAAGGACACTATTTTCCAAAAGCTCAAATCACAGAGCTCCTGAGCTGGAGACGTTCCATCACCCTGTGCAGGCCTAACAATGGCTGTCAAAGTGCTTCGAATGTGATACTGAGGTTACATATTTTTAGTGGATAGACAAATTCACAAATACAAAATCTCCAAAAGGCACCTTCCAACTTTAAACAACAACAAAATATACCAGTAAAGCAAGAACAATGGCATTCGCCCTGCTGAGTTCACACCACTACTGTGAAGACTGAATGAGATAATGAAGTCAAAAATGTTTTTGAGGTTGTCAAGTGTCTTAGTTATGTAAGGTATTGTTGTCAAGAAAAGCAGATGTCACTAATGCAGAGACCTTGAGATGTATTCACAAAGAAGGGAAAAGTAGAAAGCACACTGGAGGAGAGATTACAATTGCAGCAACAAATTTAATAAAAATGATTGTGATAGGTGTTTCTAAATACACCAAAAGCATTTCACCCAAGTTTATCAAAATGCTGCGCAGATATTAATTCCTCATTCCTTGGGTTATTTTCACAATTTTACAGAGATAGAAGATAGAAAATAAATCAAGTCACCCACATTATGTATGTGTACAGACATAAATATGATTTGTATGGTGTATAAAGTTGATTAAAATTCTTTAAAGCTCAAAGAGCTAGATAAATAGAAGATACAGTTCTATGTCATTAACTTTGCAGTAAACACATGCCGTTAACTTTGTAAGGATATGCTGAGTCTTCCAAATAGAAAGAGCATGAGAGCATTCTGCAAGCAGAACTGTGTTTACTTTCAATGAATTCAGCCCCATAGATTTCACATTTCCCAGTTGGAAAAGCACGTTGGCTGCTGTGGCCAATCTGTGATGAGAGTGAACCTCTCTGCAGATAACCTGGACCATGTCCTTGTACATTTAAAGTCCCTGGGGTCTGTGTTTCTGGGAAGGTTAGCAAAGTCCTACAAGGAAAGAATCTTGAGAAAGCCTCTCCATTCCCAGACCACATTCCAGGCAGGGCTGCCTCTCAGCAGGAACTGGATCTGGGATATACTATCATGGAAAACTATATTTTAGTCAACGGTGTATACCCTAATTCTGCTAAAGCAAAGAAAAATGGAGCAAATTATTCAGTCCTAATTCTATTCTCAGTCCTGAGCATTCTACATACAGAATGTATGGCCTGTAAACACTGGCCTGTAAAACATTATCAAAGGTTGACAAAAATCCAAAATACTCCACCATCTGAAAACTTTTGAGCTCTGGCATGATGCCACAAATGGAAAATTCACACCTAACCTCCTGGGACAGATTTCAATCAAAACACAGGTACACCAGAACTATTGCGTGCAATGTTCTCGGGCCATATGTGTAAGATATATGTGAAGAATAAATAAATTCCACCCTCAAGATATCTCATTCTGTGTATGTAAATATTCCAAAATACAAAAATACACAAAGTCTGAAACACTTTTGGTTCCAAGAATTTTGAATAAGGGCTACTCGGTCTGCAGTTTCACAGTGTAAAGCACACACGAGGGAAACTGCCACAGATTTATTATTTATCACAGCACTTTTGCAGTCAAGATTATGTTTTCCTTAACTTCTTAATATGGAAATTTCCCAACATGTATAAAAGGAGAGAGAACAATCTTGATAAATTTCAGTTTGCCCAGTATCCAGCTTCGCCAGTTATCAAACCAAGACCACACTTGTATTTTCCAGACTTCTGCCCAGTTCCACAACTACTATTTTATCTACAAAGATGTCAATATCTATCCCTTTACAGCGCTGCAATACCATTGTCATCCCTTAAAATTTAACAGTGATCTCTTTATATCTGCAGTAAGTGTTCAAATGTCTCTAGTTTTCTATGATTGTTTTGCTATCATCAGAAAAATAATTCTTCTTGATCCAACTAACTTCTAAAGAAGAATCACCGGTGAATTATATCTACTCATCCTCTGTGGCCTTTAAGTCCTGTATTCCAGCTGCCTTTATTCAATGTGCCTGAGGACCTGTCAATTGTCCCTGCAATAGAAATGCACTAAACAGGACCTTAACGTATGGCAGATCCCCAGCTCTGGACAACCTGAGTATTCCAGACTTTGTCCTCCTTACCTACCATTAGGTGACTTTGGTCACATCCTCCAGCTTTGTAGCCTCGTTTGCCAAGTCTGTATAATGTAGAATTGGAAACATTATCTCCATGTGCCCTTTGGTCTAGCTTTCTCTGATCTGATGATTCTGTTTGTAAATAGGCACCATTAGGGCTTTAGCGCTCTCTTTTACCAATGCAGTTGGTATCTTGGCCCCTTCCTTAAATGACCAAATTTCCCAAGCAAAGCTGAGCCTTCTCTATTCTGAGCCCACATCACCTAATCCAAAAATGCTGCTAAACAAATGAGTGCTGTACTTCTTCATCAGGACTCTAGTCCTCCCACCTGACCGAGCTCTGCTCTCTCTCCTCATTATTACCTACAGCTCCAAGAAGGTGGCCACACCCAGGGGAGCCTCAAGACTCAGTTTCTTAAATAAAACACTTAAGTATCTTCAAAATTTTAATAGCCATGTATTTATTTGAATAAGTATTAGAAAATATATTTATTATAGCAAATCTATAATTCTATAGATATTATCAGGAATAAAGCAAAACTTCATCATTCCATTTTTCTGAAAGTGAGAAAATTTAAGGAAAAATAATAAGTGCAAAGGTATTTTCAGATATGACAAGAATCCTAATTGTATCCTAGGAAAACACGGAACCAAAAGAAATTGTTTCTGTTCCATTTTTTCCCCTAACCACTGACAGGGCTAGTTGGATTTAGCCCTCACAGATAAAACTCTTTCCTGAACTCTTTCTTAGTCTTATAAAAATTTCTCACTCTAATCATATTCCCACCAGGAATGTTATGACACCAATTCTTTCCCTATATTTATGTTCTTGAACCAACTAATATTCAGCTGGCTTCCACGAGGTCCCAAGCTCACTGTATGTTCTCAGGAAGTGGCCAGTCACTGAAAGTTCAATGAAGAGCAATTATTCCCGCGTGCAAATGAGAAGTGTCAAAATGCAGCATGCATTAATGAGGGCAGTAGTGCATGGGGAACGGGATGTCCTGTGACAGAAGAGCGTCCTGGCCCCCCACTGCATAAGCACATGACCTTCACCAGCTCATTTAATTTCTGTGCTTCAGTTTCCATTTCTAGAAAATGTGGGCGCTAACACGATTCAGGGCCACCTCATGTTTTTGCATGTCGTATAGTGTCCAACCTTAGGTGTGCCATTCACAGCTATTGTTGCAGCGCGTGACCTGCATAGTTACCCACAGCAGCCAAGTATCTGTCCTGCTTATTTCAGGAGATTTGTTGTAGAATTCAAAAATAAAAGGAAAATATGTGACTTTTTAATTTAAAAAACTATATAAAAATAGTCATTGCATTCACAAGTTCTCAATATTTCCTCAGAGAAAGAACATATAAAACAAGCCAAAGAAAGTAACACTTACTGAGTATTATGTGTCAGACAATAGGCTTATGACTTTCCATAATCATCTGCATATCTTACCCAAAAGAAATGAGATGGTTCTTCCTTACATGGCATAGCAAACAGAAGGACAAACCCAGGGTTTAAAATCAGGATACTTGACTCCAAACTCCATGCTCATTCTAGCAGTCCACAGTGTCTATGAAATGCTTGTGTTGATATTTAGAACACTTCTCCTACCTCCTTTCCCTTGTTTTTCATTTATTTATACGAGTAACTTGCAGTTACCTAAGGATAGTGAACTGTCCCTTATTTTCCTGACATCTCTAGTCCTGTGTTCCAGGACTGCATATGTGACTTGCATGGAGAATGAATGAATCTTTGCCAGTGAACGAATTGACCACAGTGTTCTGAACTGTTGGAGGTAATATTCGGTTAAATGGAATAAAACTCTTAATATTCTACCACTTTTGCCTACAAAAGTGGCTATTTCTTTCATCTTAAAAGAACAGAAAAAGGTCTTGGAAAGAGGCCTGAGCCTGGAAGGTAGTACCTGTGGCAGCATGGCCCACTTTTCCTACAAAGGATGAACAAATATAATCGGTAAAGCTACACCCTCATCAGCTCATACTGAGTGTCTCTGTGCGTCTCTAAACGTTGCCTTTGGCGTTCTTCTTTCTTCCTAGTGTTGTAAGAGGACAAGTGGTTCACGACCAGAGAACCAGCTTGACTTGTAACACAACCGTTCCTGTCCTAGACTGCTATTGCTAATGCTGCAAATGTTTCTTTATAAAAGGGCTCTCCAAAAAATAGCATCTCAGCTGAGCAAACACACTCAAGCTTAAGACCCCAACACCCTCGGCCTGTATTTGCAGCCAGTTCCTTCTCAGCAGTCTTCTCAGCCACTGGGATCACTGAGTTGTTTTCATTGTCTGAGCTAACATGCTTGGATGACCTTGGCCCTGACAAGAGGTCTGTGCCTGGAACACCTTCAAAAGTTTCTTCTGAGCCTTGAAGGTAAAGCCTATATCTAGTGGCTCAAGTCTCCCACAAAGGAAAAGACTGATGGTCTCATTGCTGGTGTCTGGGAACCAGAGAAGGGGGAAGAAATAGCCCTGAGGCTCATCACACCTTCCAGGAGGTATTAGAAATACAACCAGAACCTCTGTCCATAGGAGTGAGGAATGTTCTCATAACTGTGACAAAACAATCTGTAAATGGTGGAGCCCTGTGCATAATCGTTGTCCTCACAAGTGCCAGGAATCCCACCCACGGAAGGAATCTTTTCTTAGCATGACCCTCGTCCTGCCACCTCCTTTATAGATGAGTGGTCCCAGAAGGCAAAAGGCTAAATCAACAATTGTGTGTTCTTGTCAGATCACTGACCTCTCAGCTAATGAGGAATGCTGGGGAAGAGCAGCCAACTAAGCCTAAGAAGAGACACAAAGGGGAAAAGGGAAATGATAGGATCCGAGTCTCTTACTGGTGCTATACAATTTCTAAGAAACAGGAGTCTATGGGTAGACTCTTTGGGGTGTAATTGCTGAGATTGGTGGCCTCCCATGGAAAGATGTTGGGGATGGAACTAGCCAGGCTTAGCTGACATGCACTGTGTGTATGTGTCCTCTAAATTTCCAGAGTTGCTGGGCATGGTGGTACACACCTGTAACCCCAATACTCATGAGGCTGAGGTAACTCATGTTGCAAGTTCAAGGCTGGCCTGGGCTACAAGTGAGCTCAAGACCAGCCTGAACTGCATAGCCAAACCTGGTCTCAAAAAGGCAACAAAATAAAAATAAATAAATTTCAGGCGTTGGAAACTTAACACTCAAAGTCATATGTTAATGATATTTGGAGGTGGGGCCTCTGCAAGATGATTGGCTCTGCCATCAAGAATATATTTATCCATTCATAAAACAGTAAGTTATTGCAGGAGTCTCCTTTTTGTGAAAGTGAACGTGGCTCATCTGCTCTGACTCATCACATGACACCCTCTGCCATGCTATGATGCGTAAACAATGCCCTGCCCAGAAGTTGACTGGATGCTGGCACTATGCTCTTTCAACTCCATAACCATGCAATAAATAAACTTCTATTACTTACAGATTACCTGGTGTCAGGTATTTTGTTATAACAATAGAAAATAGACAAAGACATTCACAGAAATTCTCCCCACTTCTACAAAATTGTGATTACCACAGCTCAGTAGAAATGTCCCAATATCCAAGCCCATTGATCAACTTTTATAAGTACCTACCTTTGCCTAGATTTCTAAGAGTTACTAGTTGAGAACATGCAGTTATCTACATGTTCTTTCAAAGACCCCAGAAACCTGAAAGGAAAAATTAACTATGCTCTAATTTTCAAATGAAATGACATGGTTGAGCTTCAATTATCATGCTTTGAAATTAACATATCACCTTAATACCATGATAAAGCCAATGTTTGTTTTAATAAATGCCAACAGGAAAAGGGATAATTCAGAAAGTAAATGTGATTGATTTTGATAGAATTAGAATGCTAAAGGCAGAGTTTAAAGACAATGTTATCTGTGGTAGTCATAATTAGTTGTTTAATACAGTCTCCCAGTCTTTCTCTGAATGGTTACTCATAATTGGTTGGATATGGTTACTGTCCACAGCATTCCATTGTTTTTAAAGGAGCACAAACAAAGAGGAAAGAGAAAAGGAGGACAAAGGGGACAAAGAACATGCTGGTGGGATCATTCTGGTCTAGCATAGATCATTCATTAATGACCTAGCATTAAACATGCTTTAATGAAACCCAGAGCACACTTGTGGGAAAGTAAACGTGCCTGGGAGGACCAGGCTCATCACATACAAGAGGAATGGGGAGATTAGTTCACTTGGGCAGGAAATAACATTGATGGCTTACAAGTTAATGTGCTGGAGAGAAATAGATCAGAAAACACAACTATTTAATGTGAGGAAGAAAAATGGGAAATCAATAAGACCCGAGAAGACCTAAGGGTGATAATAAACAGTAAATCATAAGCATTTGCAGTGCAATCGAGAAGTCAAGCACCCAGAAAGACTGGGAACTGGGCACCCGAGTCATTTCTAGGGGACCGAGTAGTGGTGGTGATTCCCTGCCATAATGAATAGACTTGGTCTCAGAATATGCCTAATTAGGGCAGGTATGGGGAGCTCTTTGGGGATGAAAAGATAAGGTTGGGGGTGCAGAAGTGCTATACCCTATAAGCAAGCGAGGAATCACAGCACTAAGATGAAACCTGGTCTAGCAAAGGTATGCCCAGCAAAAGGCATGGGCATTGCCCTGGATTCAGGCCTCTAATTCCAGCTCTGCCCCTGCTCATGCACTTCCCAATTTTCATATCTATGACATCTCTACCTCCCACTTGCACGCAGTGCTACTACCACTCAGGCGGTATTTCTTTCTCCCTCATTTCCAGTATCAATCCTTTCCCCTCAAGTCATGCAGCACCTCAGTTAGGGAGGTTCAGGGAATACATTGGATCCCCTCAGAGCCCTGAGAGTGGTTGGCTTCAGATCATCTACCCACAGACACTGCAGGACCAATTCAGAGCATCGTGGCAGGTACCTGCTTTGTGTCGCCATGGCAGGTGTACTGTAGGCTACATCTATTGATGTGGGACACACATACTCAGATTGATCTCCCTTCCTTCCATACCCCCTGCCTTCAAGGACCCCAGAAGCTGTACCAGGTCAGCATCGCAGGAAGTGGGCAGCCCCAGAGTAAAGCTCCAGCCTTCTGAAAACATCTTCTCTCCTTCTTGGCTGTGGGGATGGGCACAGGGGGAAAGTTGTGCTAGGGGAAGCTGGACAAACCTTTCCAATCTTTCTGCCACATGACTACATTCAAATTCTATTTCCACCCCATCTCCAAGTGGGTGTCCTCTCACCGTCCGTTGGCACGACAAAGGCTAAAAAGAATCCAAAGGGGCAACACCCATTTTAAAGGTGACAGAAGTGCCCAATCAAATTCAATTTGTGTTTCAACTAGAAAGAATCAGATCTGAAAAGGTCTCTAAAGCTTACTGTCATCTATCAAATGATCAGGAGAAAATTATTTAATACTGTGGCTAACATTTATGAGCTGAAACAAGTGGGAAACTAGCTATTCACTACAAAGTTACCAGGATAAGATGAAAACAAAATCCAGAGCGCTTCCTTGTCTTCCAGTTTTGCCTGCCACCTAATATATTAGCCTACACTGATATAATTACACAGATTGAATGCTACGGGTGACAGATCTTCATACACTTCCCTGTGTGAAAATTCCGTTAGTTACCTCTGCACTGGCTTCCTCCATCCTACATTTCACCCCCTCTGGTTGATTGGCCATGGTCTCCCAATAGGACCTGAGGTGACTCTGGGGAGAGCAAGGCCACCCCTTTGTGACATAGCAGCACAGAAACAATCCAATTAAAAAGACCCAACCAGGGAAATGGCTGTTTGTAGGAGGAAACCTAAGAACCCCATGCCTTTCAGGATTTCAACAATTCATCAGCCTCAAAATGAACAAAACAAAAATTACTACAACCACAAATGCCTATCTCTCTGATATTCTGTCTTTGGTGTATAGCAGGGCTACATTTGCTTCACCCCATTCAGCTCATAAAGCTTAGCCAGAGGACTCTGTACTCTTTGGCCATTGTAGTAGTATTTTTTTCTCATGGATTCATTCTTACACATTATTGACTGGAACCCCCAATTCTAAACTGTGCTCCTCAGAAATCTGGGAGGGTCACCAACAGCATGCAGCAAAAGACCTCATTTGAGAAGCATCCAGGACTGGGAGCTGGGAACCCAAGTTATTTCAGAGTAGGATAGAAAACAGAATCAGGTTAGAGGGTCTCATCAGCTCAACTAACCCAAACCCCCACATCCAAGGCAAGAAGCACTCAGCTCAGAGAGGCCAAGTGGCCTTCCCCTGGTGCAGAGCCAGGGACAGTCAACCACAACTAGAATCTAAGAACCTAATTTCTCTCCTTTCTTAGAAATATTTTCCTAGAGTTTTGAAAGAAGTTATTCTGGTTAAAATCAATAAGTAACATCCTTCTGTGATTATCCCTACCTGAGGTAGAACCACATTAATTGGAATTTCTAGGTTTTCAGATTTGGTGTCTTCTTTTCTTGTAAAATTTGGCCTTGAATGCTGTGGAAAAGAGAAAATATGGTTTCTGCTTCTCAGCCCATCTTCTGAACCTTGACCACTCACTAGAATGCATGACAACTTTCAACTGATTTATTCCCTTCTTGTCAATTATGTACATTGTGAAATCTGAGTCTAAAGGAATATGTAGATGATATCTGATAAGATGATTTATTGATTTCTGAACAGGAATTATAGTTTGGGATATCTTTGAAACACATAGCGAATCTACTTCCTTGTCTAAGATTATTATTTGTGGGCTGGGGATTTAGCTCAGCGGCATAAGCGCCTGTCTTGTAAGCAGGCAGTCGTGAGTTTGATCCCTGGTACCGATAAAAATGAAAAAGACAAAAAAAAAAAAAGATTATTATTTGTATCCGAAACAAAAAACCATACCAATGTGAGATGCCAGGTATAGGTCCTTTGTAGAAGTTGGTCACCAAAACACTCAGAACATTCCAGGGGTGACATCACAAACCAATAGGGTGTTTATCAGTGCTCATGGTTTCTCTCTGAGCCCCGTGGCTGGAAATGAAGCATCTGACAGGCAGGAACAGATTGCACTGACTATGGCCACATGGCCAGTCGGGGTCAGTGTGACACACAATGGACCAAACTCTATCCACTGTTTGGTCATCCAGATGTCACTCACATCCTCACTGCCAGGCTAGGCTGAGACACCTATCCCTCCTCCAGAACACAGGGACTATCTTTTACATGGAGCTGAATCTCTTAAGAAGAAAGAAACACCCTTTAGTCCTGACACTCTGGGAGGCTGAGTCAGGTTTACAAATTCAAAAAACTTAGTAGCTTAGCAAGACTCTATCTCAAAGTAAAACATTTTTTAATAAAAGACTGGGAATGTAGCTCAGGGCAAAAGCTCTGAATTCAGTCCCCAACACTTTTAAAAGAAGGGGGGAAAGGGGGAGATACAAACCAAATTCTGCCCAGGCTTAGGGAGGAAATGCTATCTGAGGTGTGTCCTATGGTTCAATTCCATTCTGGTGCTACCTAACTGAAGTTATCATCAGATCCCAGAAGTGGAGGGCTCAGTCCCAGAAGACTTCCTTGGCCTCAGACACCAATCACAGGCCCGTCTTATTGTACTTCTGATTGATCAGTTATAACCCAATGGTTCCTGTGATCCCCTCTTTGGGCCAAATAATTTGCTAGAATGGCCCAGGGAACTCAGTAAAATGCTTGATTCCATTTTTATTATGAGGAGACAACTCAGGAAAAGCCAAGTGGAAAAGATCCATAGAGTAAGGGCATGGAGAGTGGCATGGAGCTTCGTTGCCTGCTCTGGGCATACCATTTCTAGCTGCTCACCAATCCTCTGAATCCAGTTTATGGGATTTTTATGGAGATCTCACTACTTAGGCACATGTTATGGTTTGTGTTTAAATGTCCCCCACAACACCCCATGTAGTCATGGGAAGGGAGGGAAGACCTTGGGAGTGCAGCATTTATCACTGCTTCGTTGTCTAGTGCTGGGACTGGCAGTGTAAGTGCTGCACCCACTCAGGGCCGAGTAGCTGGAATACAACGTGAGGGCAGGAAGTAGCTGTGTTTTCCCTTTTGCTGTTTTCACTGTTGTGATTTGTGGCCTCTGAATGGTTGCCCCTTGACTGTGCCACCCTGCCTTCAAAGCAGCTGATTATGAACTGAAACCTACAATAACTGTAAGCTAAATAAATCTTTCCTGCCTTCATTTTGAGATCAAGTATATATCAACAAGAGAAAAGCAACTAAAACAGCCCAGTTAATTAAATTGATGGCCATTGATAATTTAGCCCTCCACCTTTCCAAGGATTGGGAAGACTGAGAATTCTAGCTCTCCAGTCTCCTTGGTAGGTTCCTCTGGCAACAGTTCCTGGCCCTCCATTAGTCACTTCATTAGCAAAAATTAAGGTGTATTACAAAAGATCTCTGTAAAACACAAGGGATCGGGTCATGCTAAGGGTTTCAGGAGATCTCTGTACCAAGAACCAGGGCAAAGGCCAAATATACTTTTTATTATACTACACGTATAAATTGCATTAAGGCCACAATACCCACTCCGTTTGATCTCAATTCTATCAAGTTATTCATCTTTGGAGCTGTGAATGGCAGTTCTCTTGTGGATCATGTCTCTTGTAACCCTGAAAGCCCCAATTGTATTATATTCTGGGATTAGGCAGGAAGTGGCAGGTCTGGGTCATCAGATACAGAAACATTGAAACTGCCCACTTGAGTCTTCCACACTTAAGTTACAGTCAAGCCTTGCTTCAAGAAAATTTTAACCCAGGTGGAGTGGTAATCCCAGCACATCTGGAAGCTGAGTAGGAAGAGCACAAGTTTGAGTGTAGACGAGGCAACCTGGTGATTTAACAAGACCTTCCCTCAACATGAAAAATAAAAGGGATTTTTATGTAAAAATGTAGCTTAAAAACTCCTGGGTTCAATCCCCAATACTGATGGAGAAAGAAAAATAATGAAACAGAAGAAAAACAAGAAAGGAAGGAAGGAAAGGAGAAAGGAAGGGAGGTAGAAAGAAAAAAAAAGAATGAAAGAAAGAAAGAAAGAGAAAGATTTGTTCTGTAAAAGTTCAAATATATACCTACAGGCAAACCAAGAAAATGATTAATTACATTATTAAAGAATTTTAACAAAGTAAGTTCTCCAATGGCTTCTGTTTTAATTTTAAAATTATGGTTACGATGCATAACATTAAACTAAGCATCTTAACCATTTTAATCATATAACTCAGTAATATTAAGTGTATTCACATTGCTGCACAGTAAATCTCCAGAATCTTTTTATCTTCAAAACTATAACTCTTGGAGTTGGTGCCACTTGCAGACTGTGGGAGAGGAGAGTAAGAAGCCAACAAGAAGCCAAGCCCTCCCTGTGATTCAGTGCCATGTATGTACCACTAGGAGAAAAACCAGATGCCAGCCTCTTCTGGTGTGCAGGCTGGGAGACAAGAAGATCCAAGTACCCCCACACCCCCCACTCTATAAGCGACTGGCTGATCTGGAGAAACACAGGCTGTGATGACAGTTATTGAGGTAAAATACAACTTAATGCTTCTAGTGTTTAGTTTCACTGACTTTGCAGTCTAAAGCAGTAGTAGTCTGATCATCAATTCAGAGGATAGCAATGTGCAATGTAGCATCTATGGGGAATCTCCTTCTGAAAATGGTAATAATAGGCACTGTTAATGCCTATTATTTGTTTTGAAGTCCTGTATCATTTTCATTGTTTGGTTGGGTTTTATTGTTTTGTCTTGTTTGATTTTATTATATCTAATAGCATGGGTAGCTATTTCAAAGATAACAAGATTTATTATGGTAGCCATTTGGATTTACTATTATCTTGTTTTGAAGTTCTTTACTGCATTCTTTGTTTTGTTTTTCTAGGTTCTATTCTGTTCTGTTTTGTTCAATTTTTGCTGCTTTTGAAGTAATGGGAAGCTATTTTGAGGACAACAAGAGGCATTATGGTGACCACTGCTGATTTCCTGTTATCTTGTTTTGAAGTTCTGTATCACTTGCACTGTTGTGTTTTGATTGACTTTATTTTATTTTGTGTGGTTTTATTCTCTTTAAAGAAAAATTGCAAAGAAACAACTATAACTCCTATTAAGTAAGCACTATTTCCTCCTCTTTCTTTCCCACAGACCTTAGTAAACACCTTTTTATTTTGTGTTTCTATGATTTTTGGCCTCATTTTGTATCTCACATTCATAGAATTATAGAGCATTTGTCATTTTGTGTCTGTCTTATTTCATTTAGCATAATGGCTTCAGAATTCATTCACGGAGTGTGGCAGGATTTCCTTTTTTTTGAAGGCTGAATTTTATTATACATACATAACCGCATTTTATTTATTCATTCTCTTCTCTGTAAACATGTGGATTATTTCTTTCTCTTGGGTATTGTGAATAAAGTTACAGGATCTCCTTGAGGTCCTGACTGAATTTGAAGTGGGATTGCTCGATCACACAGTAATTCACATTTTAATTTTTGAGAATCCTGCATACCATTTTCCATGGCACTTCACCATTTGATATTCCCAGCAACAGAACAGTTCCAAATTGTCTACCTCACCAACACTTGTTCTCCATTTCTCCAGATTCTTTAAGAGATTAGTTCTTGTGCTGTCTAAAAACAGAACTCTGTTTTTCCTCACATACACACCTCAGAGAAGCCTCTGCACGTTTATTGGGATACAGTGAGAAGAGCTGCACAAAGCTGCACAAAGGGAAATGTTGTAGGATGTAACCAAAAATCAAGGCCTGGAAGGGGCTAATTATTCAAACTGGCTCACTCCCTTTGAGTGAAACCTCCAGCAGCTGACACAAACTTGGTGCCTCTGGAGATGCAGCATTAACTTATGTGAGGGTTGTTTGTTTATTTGCTTGATAGATGGAGTGGCTTTTTTACTTTTAAAGGTAGGAGTATTTTAACCCAGCCCATCTCAGTGCCAGTATCTGCAGTTGCTCATTAGCTGGGTTTTCTCCTCCTCAGTAGGACACACACATCCATTTCACAGTACTGAGAAGCTTCCTTGAGAGCTCATCTGAAATGCCTGTTATTACTTAGATTAACAATGTCATCAATCATGCACATACTGCGAGCACCATGATCAGTGGGTACTACACAGAGCTCAAAGACGGAAATGCCTCATGGGTTTCTAATCTGAACAGGCAAGTAGAGCGGAGACAAAGGAAAGGACAAATATGCACCTGAGACTGTCTAGGCTTCTCTCGCCTGCACTTACCTGATGATGTGTAATGTGGGGAAAACCAACCAATAGGAGGCCTGTCAGAGCCCAGGGCTCCCTGCATGTCCTCAGAGTCACACAAACATGGCTTTTGGTCCAAGAATCAGAGGTGGGCACGAGGTTATATTCTGACCTCCCTCGTCCTCTCACTTTGTGGAGAAAGGGACAGGAAAACGGGTAAGGATGGTAAGTTATTGTGAAGTCTGTCATCTCCAAATTGCATGACATGATTAAGAACATTGGCAATTTTTGCCATTTGGGGCAGAGGGTAGCTATACTGTGGTACCACCCAAATATAGCAAGATTTTGGACCAAGTTGCCTTGGGATAGACCAACCAATAGCTCTAACCTGCTAAGGGAGCAGCAGGAACAGTCAGAAAGTGCAAGAATGAGTTCTGGTAAGTCTACCAGGCAACAAATAAAGACCAACTATTGGGACAGTCCGAGAGAGTCTTTCCTAAGTAGAAAAACTGAATGGCAGCTATGAGAGACAGATGGCTGAAGTGAATGGTTGTCATAAGATGGAAGAGTCCTTCATATTTCAGGAATGTTGAAGGAAGCATTGAAGTGAAGTTGCTTTACTGTAGGGCTCCTGGTGCTCCCACATAACAGAGATAATTCTGAGAGTATGTCTCTCTTGATGAAACCAGAAAAGAGATCATGTGCAGGAATTGTAACATTCAAACGTAGATCTCTATGCAATCTTCAAAATCTTTCCTTCTAAATTCAAGAACTACTAGAAATTCCTCCAAAGTTTTTTTCTTAGTATTATTAATTTGATTACCTGACCTAAGAATGAAACTCTTAACAAAAGACTTCCA